GGGGGGTTGACAGTTGTGTTCATTGTTTATTGTTTCCCATTTTATCTCTCGGTTGTTAAAATCTCCTCCGATTAAGGGATGCTATACTCTGTGTCTACCTCAGTAGGCTTACTTACTTTATAGTCCGTTTCAAAAGTAATCGCCGTTCCAGTCATTGATATTAATGTTTGATACGATGCCTTATTTATTTTTTACTGAATTCGTATGACGATATTTGCAATTCGCCACATAAAGATCAATAAATACATCAATTCCTCTTGGTGTATGGGAGACAACTCTATCTGTAACAACTGTAGCTCAATAAGGGCTTGGCGGTTCTAGATAATAGCTCACTAATGTGTCACATGTGGTAAAGAGCTCACTAGGGTGTTAGATGTGGTAAAGAGCACACTAAGGTGTAAGATGTGGTAAAGAGCTACCTAAGGTGTTAGATGTGGTAAAGAGCTCACTAGTGTTAGATGTGGTAAAGATCTCACTAGGGTGTAAGATGTGGCAAAGAGCTTACTATGGTGTTAGATGTGGTAAAGAACTCACTAGGGTGTAAGATGTGGTAAAGAGCTCACTAGGGTGTACGATGTGGTAAAGAGCTCACTAGGGTGATATATGCTGTAAAGTGAGCATTATGGTGTTAGATGTGGTAAAGAGCTACCTACGGTGTAAGATGTGGTGAAGAGCTCACTAGGGTGATAGAAGTGGTAAAGAGCTCAATAGGGTGTAAGATGTGGCAAAGAGCTCACTAAGGTGTTAGATGTGGCAAAGAGCTAACTAAGGTGTTAGATGTGGTAAAGAGCTACCTAAGGTGTAAGATGTGGTAAAGATCTCACTAGGGTGATATATGCTGTAAAGTGAGCATTAGGGTGTTAGATGTGGTAAAGAGCTCACTAAGGTGTACGATGTGGTAAAGAGCTCACTAGGGTGTATGATGTGGTAAAGAGCTCACTAGGGTGATATATGCTGTAAAGTGAGCATTATGGTGTTAGATGTGGTAAAGAGCTACCTACGGTGTAAGATGTGGTGAAGAGCTCACTAGGGTGATAGAAGTGGTAAAGAGCTCAATAGGGTGTAAGATGTGGCAAAGAGCTCACTAAGGTGTTAGATGTGGCAAAGAGCTAACTAAGGTGTTAGATGTGGTAAAGAGCTACCTAAGGTGTAAGATGTGGTAAAGAGCTCACTAGGGTAATAGAAGTTGTAAAGAGCTCACTAGGGTGTTAGATGTGGTAAATAGCTCACTAAGGTGTACGATGTGGTAAAGAGCTCACTAGGGTGTAAGATGTGGTAAAGAGCTCACTAGGGTGATATATGCTGTCAAGTGAGCATTATGGTGTTAGATGTGGTAAAGAGCTACCTAAGGTGTAAGATGTGGTAAAGAGCTCACTAGGGTGATAGAAGTTGTAAAGAGCTCACTAGGGTGTAAGATGTGGTAAAGAGCTCACTAAGGTGTTAGATGTGGTAAAGAGGTCAATAGGGTGTAAGATGTGGTAAAGAGCTCAATAAGGTGTTAGATGTGGCAAAGAGCTAACTAATGTGTTAGATGTGGTAAAGAGCTCACTAAGGTGTAAGATGTAGAAAAGGGCTCACTTAGATTTTAGACGTGGTAAAGAGTTCACTATGGTGTTAGATGTGGTTATGAGCTCACTAAGATGTTAGTTGTGGTAAAGAGCTCACTTAGATGTTAGATGTGGTAAAGGAAACAACTTGACTCACCATGAGTAAACGACTCACTCAAAAGGATAGTGACTCGTTTTAGAGAAGAGTCGATGCTAAGAGAGTGACTCGCTAATGTTACTGTAACGGCTGACTAAGAGGATAGCAGCTCTGGGAATTATTGACGGGATAGCTACTCGTATGTAAATGCTGACGGAACTTAGCAAGCACCCTCGGAGTTGACAAAGACAAACGGGGTGGAGGGGTAGGGGTGGAATGACACCCGGTAGTGAAGCGGACGTAAACTCACTAAAAAAACAATTGCATGGACATTGTGTTTTATGCTAGGCCATGTAGGAGCAATTTCGATCTCGTACTTTGTTGACCATTTTTACGTCTGGTTAAGAATAAAAAACATATCACTTTACAAAGGTAATTTTAACTGAAGTGTTAGTGTCAACAGCACGAACACAGGGAGTTCGGGTATCATGTTGAATTACTAACACTATATAAATGATTTATTGCTAACATATAATTTCCAGGGTGTGTGTGTGTGTGTGTGGGGGGG